ATGCCTGTGATTGTGCGCCAATGCCCTGTCTCTATACACAGCTCTTAATGTCTGTGATTGTGAGTCAGTGCCCTGTCTCTATGCACAGCTCAACATCCCTGTGATCATGAGTCAGTGCCCTGCCTCTATACACAACTCTGAATACCAGTGATTGTGTCAGTGCCCTGTCTCTATAAACAGCTCTGAATGCCTTTGATTGTGTGAGTGCCCTGTCTCTATGCACAACTCAGCATGCCTGTAATTGTGTGTGTCAGTGTCCTGCCTCTGTGCACAGCTCAGCATGCCTGTGATTGTGTGAGTGTGTCAGTGTCCTGCCTCTTTGCTCAGCTCAGCGTGCCTCAGTGTTCTCACCATAGGCCTCAGTAGTGATACGTCTCTGTGCGTATGTGGCCAGCCCCTCGCTCAGCCACATCTCCTCCCAGGTGGCATTAGTAACAGCGTTGCCGAACCAGCCGTGCGCAATCTCGTGAATCACGTCAATCACCAGGAACTCTCGGCTCTCGAGGATCGAGGAGATGATGAATGTCAGACACGGGTTTTCCATGGCAACGATGGGGAAGGAGGGGGGAAGGAATACTATGTCGTACCTGCAGGGGAAGCCAACACAGCAGGGCGGTGAAGTACCACGGTCTAGTACAGTAGTGCTGTATTAGTGCTGCAGTGTCTTAAACTAGTCTAACAAAGGAAAGAAGTACAGTACTATAAGCCCTAAAATGTATAGTAGAGTGCAGTAAAATACAATGTAGTGCCGTGGTATGCAGAACAATGAAGAGCCAAATTGTACAATATGGTTCAACGGTGAGCAGTGTATTACGTGCACCATTGACCCATATATAGTACAGCAACTATATTAAATGTGCAGATATTTAACAGAGATGGGTTGGTCTCTCACCTGCCCCAGACATACGGTCCAAACAGCCCCTCCGCCACTGCCAGCCAGCGCTCCACACTGCCCCCCAGCTTATTGACAGCAGAACTCAGCACACAGGGCTCTGCCCACACTCGGCTCCTGACGGAGAGCAACAGGGGTCAACGCACTGCCCGGCGGAGAGGCAGAGGGGTTGACACGCGCAGCGCACCAAGAGAAAACCCCGCCCTCGGACGCAAGGCTTCACAGGCTGGACAGCAAGCTCCAGTGGAATTCAAATACATACATGAAACTGCGATGACAAAATCAACTTCCCTCCCTGCAAACTCACCGGGGGCCAATGTCGGCAGGCTGCAGGTCTCCTGCCACCAGAGCCACCAGGTAGGCTGGCACAGGGAACTCCATGGAGAACTGATAGGCCTGCTCCTGCTGACTGAACACACTGTGCGTGGCGCTCATCAGCACGGTCACTCCCTCGGGCACCTGGGCACAGCACACACCGTCAATACACACGGCGACCAACACGGAAACACCGTCGTCAGCGCACAGACACAGCTCACCCACTACCGTCAACACCACACGCCTTCGCTCACCGTACACGATGATACACTCAGCATACACACGGTCAATACACACTTCACCACTCTGTCAACACGACACGCGCGCCGTCAGTGCCGTGCTCCTGTGAAAGTACCGACAGTCACCGTGAAATGGTATCGACAGTGAGCCTGTCAATATGTGAAGTAATAGTGACCTGAAGTGTGCGAGTGATTCTGTGTTTATGCGTGAGGCACTGCTGTCAGTGGGAGCGAGGGAGAGTGAGAAAC